GAAAACAATTGCTTTTTATACAAATTTATTAATATTTTAATTAGCTTTTAGAAATGGCATTCTTCATTGTTTTGCATCAATCATTCCTAGATTTAAAAGTATATGTACAACTTTTACACATCACTTTTTTCAGATAAAAATTCTTTTTTAAAATGTTGTTGATTCGATGAAATTTTAAAAGCATACTATTATTCTAGGAATGGTGCATTTCAATTATACTCTCGTATTATTTACATCATATAAAATTAATTTCGAATGAAAGTATTGAGAGTCTTTCTACATATTTGGGTTTTATCCGTTTAATTTCGGGCGTAACATCATAATTTAATATCTTTCATTATATGATTGATATGTCATGAATATACTTTTTTAAATTACATATTATAATTAATTCAAACACTGCGCACATTATAAGATTTAATGAAAGATTATAAAATATTTTATTTGAAATTCTAATGACATTCGAATTGTATTTATAATTTCGAGGAAATCAAATGAAAGGCTGTGTGAAACATACAAATATTATGTCAAGCAAAGACTGCAAAATTTCATCATGTCTACTCTTTTCTATTGAAAAAACCGAAGAAGTAGAACAAAATAATTAATAGAAAGTTATACCGCTAATACGCATGCAGTTGTACGAAATATTGATTTTTCTATCAACAAACGGATGCGTAATTCAAATTGCCAGTGCACACCTTATCCTTAAAATTTGAAAGGAAAGACAGTATAGAAAACGTGATTACAGAAACATATTATGTTTCTCGAATATTTTATTGTTAACGATTCAGTTCTGTATCTTTACATTTGACAAAAAGAGATTACTATGAATAAATGAGCAGATATGAAAGTCCCACAACATATAGGGACGTTAGTGCTGTTATAAGATGCTCGACAAATATTTTACAAATACATATATCATACAAAAGATACTTTGTTTTGTTTTATCGCTATTATTATTACGTTCGTTCAATATCACGCGGTATGTATGTAATATGTTATCTTTATACATATTAATAGCATTTTTATTAGGTTTTAAAAAATGTCATTAGGGAAAAAAAGTAATTCGAAATATTAATGTAATTCTTCAAACTAACTAATGTATTTTATAATTTGTATATGTAAAAAGTAAAAAAATACATTTAGTATATACATATATACAACTTATAATAACTTTACTTATTTGTAATTTATACAATATTCAAATTACTTTTGGGGGCACAACCTTCTTTTCTTAATTGTTTGGTTTCTTCATCAACATTTTTTGAATCCTTTGGTGCTTTATAATTAGTAACATGATCAACTCGTATTGTCCTTCCTAAAATCTAAAGAATATAATTAATGCTACCACTGAATTATGTCAATTAACCGAAGTAATGTGTTATTGGAGAATACTCTTACCTTAGTACCATTAAAATTGTCAACAGCTAACACTGTACTCCTTTGATCTTCATAACACAAGAATCCATACCCTTTTTGTTTGCCTGTATCTTTATCTCTAATTAAATTTATATTTACTACTTCTCCATACCTAAGAGAATTTAATACAATTGTCATTTATCATATGGCATTAATTTACGTTATTAATCCTATCTAGTCTAAGTTTAGGAATATCTTGGCAAGGCACTTCTGTCATTACAGTCGTGAGCAGATACAGTTACTATTTACTACATTAATGTATATTAAATTAATTTACTATTAATACAAATGCATTTCTAATAAATACTGAATTAAACAAATGTTTCGAACTTACTGTGAAAATATGGTTACAATATCGCCTTCTGTCAAATCGTATGGTAAGCCACCAACAAAAATCCATGCACTATCTTTGTATTGATCATGCCAGGATGTTTTACTGCTTCTTAGCAATTCTTGTTCTCCCAGCTTTTNTTATAATAACTTAAATTATTTGTAATTTATACAATATTCAAATTACTTTTGGGGGCACAACCTTCTTTTCTTAATTGTTTGGTTTCTTCATCAACATTTTTTGAATCCTTTGGTGCTTTATAATTAGTAACATGATCAACTCGTATTGTCCTTCCTAAAATCTAAAGAATATAATTAATGCTACCACTGAATTATGTCAATTAACCGAAGTAATGTGTTATTGGAGAATACTCTTACCTTAGTACCATTAAAATTGTCAACAGCTAACACTGTACTCCTTTGATCTTCATAACACAAGAATCCATACCCTTTTTGTTTGCCTGTATCTTTATCTCTAATTAAATTTATATTTACTACTTCTCCATACCTAAGAGAATTTAATACAATTGTCATTTATCATATGGCATTAATTTACGTTATTAATCCTATCTAGTCTAAGTTTAGGAATATCTTGGCAAGGCACTTCTGTCATTACAGTCGTGAGCAGATACAGTTACTATTTACTACATTAATGTATATTAAATTAATTTACTATTAATACAAATGCATTTCTAATAAATACTGAATTAAACAAATGTTTCGAACTTACTGTGAAAATATGGTTACAATATCGCCTTCTGTCAAATCGTATGGTAAGCCACCAACAAAAATCCATGCACTATCTTTGTATTGATCATGCCAGGATGTTTTACTGCTTCTTAGCAATTCTTGTTCTCCCAGCTTTTTAATATTTTTTACATTTCTAAAACCAATTTATAAGAAAACTTTGATAAGATCAGATAATTACATTCACACTTTGTAATCAGCATAATTGTATACTTACGTTAAAGGATTCATTGTATTTTCTATGAAAAGTTCACACAAAATGTAATAATTTTTGATTAACAAAACAAGTTATACGTATTAACAATTTAAATGAAACTAATAACCAATATTACACGTAGCCGGAATCTACGACACACAACTATCCATATGAAGCTGGCTCACGATACTAACCACCTCTGACGCTCCCGTAGACGCTTCGCTGTTTCACCACATCGACTACCACTACTACTTCGTCGCGCGATTCAATGAGTTGTGTGGTCGCTCTGGTGAAAAGGGCGCTTTAGTCGAAATTGCTTTGCTCGGATTGGCTGATGATGCAATGCTAAGATAAGATTTAAATTAAATGCGCAATAAAATGGTGGGGATACAAGCGCTTCCTTAGAGAGGAAGATGACAAGAAGAAGACAATGCAGGATTGAGATGATACCTCTAATATCACTACACAGTGATACCGTGTGTCGCTATATCCTTAGAACCATGCGACGTTAACGTAGGAGTGGTATAGTGGTATCATAGATTGTACAGTGAAACGTCAATTCCTGCATCTTTTTCTTCCTCTTTAAGGAAGCACTTGTATCTCTGCTTAGCATAAAATCGTCAACTAATTAGAGCAAAGCAACTTCTACTCCTTTTCTCGCTAACAGAGCGAATCACGGCCAGAGAGTTGGCAGAAGTTAAGGTTTCACTGTGTGTGTATATTATGTGTGTAATGTTGTGGTACAACATTGTTGAGAACGCCCTCTAGCACAAAAATCGTGTAACTATTTACTCGATAAATATCACTGAGCAGGTCATTTCGTTTTATCAACGGAAACGTATTTGTACGTCAATTTGTAAATCAATAACTCGCAAGTATCAATGGTGTATTGGACATGTACATAATATCCAAAAGGTAAACGTATCTTGAAAAAATAAATCGTAAATATTATAGATTCTAAAAAATACGTAACTACTCGTTTACTTTGTCTTCTATGGAATTCATTTTGGTTCGTAAGGAAATTCCGGAAGTGAAGTAACGAAAGAAGAAAGTCGCCATTTTGTGTTCGCCGAGAAGGATAAAGACTCTGTGAATGACGGTTGGACCGAGCTGAGTAGCATTCGTTTAATTATCGTTCCTTTGTTTTTTCTTCCATCATTCGTTCGGCTGTGCCGTGTTAAACAGCGTTGATGATTGGGATTCCGCGTGACGATCGACATAAGATCACGGTTAAAATCCGCAACAATATGAAAAGGAGCTCTAGTCGAGACACTCCACCTCCTCGCGTCAAACGAAGCAGATCTTCCATGGGACGGTATGCCGTTTTTCCGTTATCTGTCATAATTTTTTTCTTTTTAAAATGATCATTAATAATAAGACATACTTTGTTTTTCTACTTTTTTTATAACAATTTATATGATAATAATAATAATAATAATAATTAAATACTGAATACTAAATAATTAAATACAAAATAACAAACACATACATTGGTGTACTATTATTAAATAAGTTCTTTTTGTGTTGTAATAAATAATTCTTATTAAAATCTATGATACGAAATTATATTATGAATTTACAGATATGACGATTCTAGTGATGAAAGAATAACACCTGAAAGAATCCGTCGTCGTAGTAGAGGAGCAAGAAGTCCAAGTCCTCCGACACGAGCTTCATCTCATGCTCGTTACGTTGAATCTAGTTCTCACAGAGATGATTATCTAAGAGCACCAAGAGAATTACCCCCGGAACGTCCTTATAGCTACAAAGTACTTTGCATCAGTTCAATTCACCCAAAAGCAAGCGACGAAGTTATTAAAGATACTCTTTACAGAGAGTACAAGAAGTTTGGGGACTTCTCTATTAGAATTTCTCACGAGTTAGATGAACGAGTTGCATATGTTTGTTTCAGAAGTTCAGAAGATGCTAGAGATGCAAAACATGCAAAACCAAGGATTATTATGTATGATAAAGTGGCACTTGTTGAACCAGTATATGAGAGACCAGATACTTATCGTCGTCCAAGATCAATTACACCACCTGATTATGAAAGATATTATGCTAGAAGTCCTGGTCCAACAGATAGGCATAGACCATTAGAAAGATATGAAAGAGTTTATGGACCTCCAGTTGGATTGCCTCCACCACACAGAGAAATGAGACGTGAAACAATTCCTCCACCTCATCATGACTTTGTTAGACCACCAATTCATCATGGGCCACCCCATGTTCACCCTGGACCACCGCATCATTATGGGCCTCCAAGACATATGATGATACGTCATCCAGTTCATGGATTTGAACGTGTGGAAAACAAGAAAGACAAATTTCCTAACTATTTGCATCATGTTTCACCAGAAGATGATCCACTAGCAACAAGGACTTTGTTTGCAGGAAACTTGGAAATCAATATCACGGAGGAAGAATTAAGGAGAATTTTCAGTAAATATGGGACTGTTGATGATATTGATATTAAAAGACCCCCACCGGGAACAGGAAATGCTTATGCTTTTGTCAGATTCCAAACTTTAGACATGGCACATAGATGTAAAGTCGAATTATCTGGACAGTATATTGGAAAATTCCAATGCAAAATTGGTTATGGGAAAGCTACTCCTACTACAAGAATTTGGGTTGGTGGTTTAGGACCATGGACTTCTGTGCCACAATTAGAAAGAGAATTTGACCGATTCGGAGCAATAAAGAAAATTGATTATATAAAAGGCGACAACAATGCTTACATTTTGTATGACTCCATTGATGCAGCTCAAGCTGCTGTAAAAGAAATGAGAGGTTTTCCATTAGGTGGTCCAGATAGAAGATTGAGAGTAGATTTTGCAGATGTGACACCAGGATTTGGATTCAAACCAAGGCCTTATCCAGAGGAAAGTGGAGAATTTAGACCAAGACCAGTAGATTATGAGTCTTCTTATGATCCTTATGGGCCAGATAGTGACTTTGGTTATGGATCAAGAGGGCTCAGAGGTAGAGGATCTGCACCCTGGCACGAGAGGAGAGGTGCAGGTAGAGGTGGTTATCGTGGAACTTATCCAGAATGTTATGTACGAGATGATGCTGATTGGTCTAGTCGCAGACCACCGCCAGAGTTAGAATACGAAGCTCCAAGAAGTTTACGTCGGTCGTTATCAAGAGAACCTGGTGTAGACAGATCAAGATCACGATCTCCTCGCAGGAGGCAAATCGATTCAGACTCAGATTCCGAGAATACGCGTACGGGAATGCTTTCTACCTCTCGAACACTGCCAGAAGTTGCTAGAAAATCGATAGCAGTATGGCAGGGAGCATTAATTTTAAAGAATTCTCTATTTCCAGCTAAATTTCATTTAACTGATGGTGACACGGAAATCATTGAAGCTCTAATGAAAGATGAAGATGGGAAACATATGCTAAGAATTACACAAAGATTGCGTTTAGATCAACCAAAATTAGATGATGTCTCAAAAAGAATTCAAACTTCCAGTTCACATGCTATATTCCTAGGACTCGCTGGTTCAAGTACAGTAATTTCTACAGATGATGCTAATGTACAGACAAGACCATTGCGTAACTTAGTATCATATTTGAAACAAAAAGAGGCAGCAGGAGTTATTTCACTGCTTAACAAAGACACAGAGGGGACAGGAGTTCTTTATGCATTTCCACCCTGTGCATTTTCTACAGAATTATTAAAAAGAACCTGTCCAAGTCTCAGTGAAGAAGGACTCAAGGAGGATCACCTGGTAATCGTCGTTGTTAAGGGGGGTAGTGCTTAAGTTTTCTTCATGGTTAAGGCTTAGATTTAAATATATGTATATGTATATATGTATATATTTATATATATATATATATACATATATATATTATAAATATATATACATGAATGTGTGTACACGCGTGAGAATGAGTGTCTGTGTTTGTATATATTGACCAAAGTGTTTAGTACCATCACTTTAATATATTATTTGCATTGTTTGGAAAAATACTTCATATAAAATCTGAATATTTAATATTTATTAGCTTCAGAGGACTTTTACAAATATGGATACCATTTTTTATATAACATTTTTTTTGTTCAAATTATTTGTTTAGATAAGATTTTCTGAATTTTATAATAATAATGTGAATGTGTCCACAGAGATTTTCAAAGATTGTGCACTCTGCATAAAGAAGTGAAAGTCTTTTAATTGAGAAATATAAATAGAATAAATCAAAATTTATTAAATGTTATGCTTAATATGTGAAAGAATAATAATCATAAGAAATTAAAAACAGTAAATAANAATGTGAATGTGTCCACAGAGATTTTCAAAGATTGTGCACTCTGCATAAAGAAGTGAAAGTCTTTTAATTGAGAAATATAAATAGAATAAATCAAAATTTATTAAATGTTATGCTTAATATGTGAAAGAATAATAATCATAAGAAATTAAAAACAGTAAATAA